TTTATTAAATCAGCCATTCTGAAAATTTGTAAATAAAACTGTGCGTGCTAGAACATGAAAGCTAACTAAAAATCAGGTTACAATATACACAGTACACTACTTAATTGCGATTTATATCAAACGAATCGTATTTATACTTTGTCTGCAAGCAACGTGTAAATGAAGTGGTAAACTAATAGGTATGACGTCATTAAGACTGTTAGAAAACAAGGATCCGTGATTGTCATAATTAATTTTGAATACAAACAAGTTTTGGGGTTGACCCAACAGTGGGGAATCAGTCTACCGAATGTCCTTAAAAGATGTAAATATCTTACAAAAACATTGGTGCCTTATTTGTTTAATTATTTTAAGGGACATAATTTCCAGCTTTATTCAAAGTAATTCAGATATTTTAGTATAAAAACAAATGTCTCATCGCAAAAAAAGTGCTGCATTTAGACGTGAATAGATTTATAAAACATGCAAGATAACAAAAAAATCTTAGCTGGCTTTTGTCCAAGTATTTTGTACAGGTGTCTGTCAAAAATTAATGATTCACTGAGACAAATATGAACTGCCTCATTGTGTGACTACTGTATTATATGAAAAGTAAAAAAAAAACACCCTTTATGAATAGCTATCATGTTGCAAGCTCTGCTTTGTATGCAAATCAACTTAAATAGTTAGTGGAGGGAGAAGTCAACAGTACTGTTGCCTCCTGAGAATCTACATCTTCAAACACTGCAATCTTTGAAGTGCGTTTTTAAACTAGTATTATAAACTATATCATTCTGTTCTAATAGCTGAAACATATTCCTGTGAGTTTTCATTTGTCGAATGAACTGTTTGTCAAATACAGAATACATATATTTTAGAACAATTTTCTTTTTAAAATGTGGATGAAATGTTTTGCTTTCTTTGTATTTTTATGTATTGTTTTTGATTTGATAACTTTGAACTAAACAGATTTTCTATTAGCTTCAGATCTTGATCAAAGTTTGGCACCCAGTTCATAGGAGTGCTTATATTGATTTTCTGACATCTTGTTTTCTGGAAAGAATTTATTGGTAGGTTTGCAAATGTGTATACGACTGTGCAATTTCTCCATGAGTTGGTTTTGAAAACCAGTATAGGATTCTGAGATACATTACCAAGGATAGTATTACAAGATAAATCATTTGCTTCATTGAACACATACAACAATGCATATTTCCACTGAGATCAGTGACCTTTGATGTGTATCACCAGTGATCAGTCAAGTAGAAACAGTCATAATAATTTATCAGATTTTCTCAATTGTTGCATGATATTTTCATACAGGACATATGTTGTTCAAACTCAGGGAAGACTTTATACTGATGAATAAGGTGACCAAGTTTGATGAAGTTTGGAATAAAATTAGTAAAGTTATTATGCACACAATAACAATTATTAACGACGACGACGACGACGACGACGACAACGACAACAGTGACAACAACGACAACGCCAGACAAAATTGTTCCCTTAATATACCGTTCCCTTCCATCTTTGATGGTACGGGCAAGGTAATAAAATGTTATGTATGCGGAGTTTTTGGTCATTATTAATTTCGCTCCCAGTGTGCATTAACTGGATAACCATTTGTAAGATTGCCCATAGAATAGCATTCAGAAAAATGTATTGATTACAAAAAAAAAAGAATGACGGAATGACGACACAAGAATGAAATAATAAGATTATCTGATGGATAATTTAATGGATTAAATTGTGTGCACTTCGGATAACTTTAATAACGGCGCTAATTAAATTCGGGGTAAACATAATAGAAACATACAATAGCCACCGACTGTACTTCAATATTGTTCGTGCTGCATTGTTAAATTACACACCTGGCATGGAATAAATCATGTATTTAATATATTATATGTTCCAAGTGTATAATGAAGTAATGTTATTAGCAATCCAATATGCCGGTATTACTCTGCACTGAATCGGTGTGTTGGCAGCGAGAGAAATGAAGTATTCACCATTGAATGTTATTGTGACTGTCAGACGTAATTCATCATCACATCCACACTGTATCACCTGTCTTCACAACGCACATATAACTGCAATCTTCATCGGTCGCACGTCTCTAGGTGTGTTCAAAGAAACACCGAATATCCCGAAATGATACACGGTATTCTTTAGTGGTTGAAAATAGGACATCGGCGATGTGATACAAAGGAAACCACGAAGATTATAAACTTTAGAGTAGATAACAGCAGCTATCATGTCGACGACGCCATATGTAGAAAGCTCAATTGGTCAGGCTTTCTTGCGGCAAATGCTTTTATCAAAAAACTAAAAACTAGATGCATGTAACGCATCTATAAAATTTGTTTGCAAATTCGAACCAAAGTACATCATTTCATGCCAAGAATTCAGCCAAGGTATTTTAAGCACTTAAAGAGGAAATGTGAAAAACCTTGCCCGAAGGCATAGATTATGAATAAAATGCTTTTTTTAAGTGGCAGCGAAACGACTTGATCAAAGAAATTGCTAAAAGGAAAAGCCTTGGAGAAGGATGATTGCTTACCGTGCATGTATTTTTTGTCAGCGAAAATAATCTCAATGGTATCTTATCACAGATCTTCACGAAGCTGCATTTCGAAATTGAAGAACGGACGTGACATTCAGTGATGTGTAGTGTCTGATTATTAGACGTTCGTCATGCCAGATGAACCTGTAAGGTGAAGAAGGTAAAGCGTGACTTAAAATGGAAACACTTGAAATCTTCAAGTGTGAATACTCGCTTTTACTGTGCCATCATTAGTCGCATTATGCACTGTTAGAAAAGTTCATCTTCTGCAAGGTGTGTCGACAACAAATCTATCGAATATCATGTCAGTAAAGGGTAAATATAATGCAATAATTTCCTTGGATAATCCCTTGTATGCCTATATGTTCATCTGTATTATGAAAGAAATGATAACTGAACTAAGGGGTCAATTTGGTGTTAATCAAGATCACATTTTTTACATGAATCCCGGTGTGGTCGACATCATAGTCGATATGTTATTTAAAACTATCTAATTTCACAGTGTGTTTTATGCCATCTTTCAGTCACTGAATGACTTGAGTATTACCAATTGTTTGCAATAATTATTCAGCTCCAGCTATTGATAAAAACTCACCAGAAAATTTATGTTAAGGACGCCATTTTGTCTCGATAGTTAATTATGTAACTAAGTTACGCTTTAGTTAACCCCGACTGGCATATATTATCGATTTCGGCGTTAACATACCTAATGGATGCTTTAATGCACAATGTGAACGTCTCGAATACATCCATAGAGGATTTACTTCAAACTCAACCATTTTACTGCAAACTGGGAATACACACAATGAGGAGAAATGACTGTATCATCTCAGAACGAGGCTGATCTGACGCCGACCCTTTCAGGTGGTTGACGAAACAGAAATAATTCATCAAGCAAATAATCCAATGAATAAGCCCCGTTCAGACTGGCTACGTTCATTTGGTGTGAACATTACGGCTATCTTACTTCACTGCAGCTATGTAATTAGCGACAAGTTGCAGAAGACACGCCGATATTAGATTCGAAACGTGCTTGCGTGGTTTCCAGTGACTTAGAATGACTTCATACGAGGGGTGAAGATCTTTAAATACATACTAATGAAAGTACATAAAATAACCCATGTACTCATTGTGTGTACTTATTGGTGTCGTAATATTTGATTGCAAGCCACAAAAAGACGTTTTAAAGTATGGATATTCAGTATATTGTAAGTAGCGGCCCGAATCACCTGATCACGAAGTATAGACCTTATTTGGAAATGGCTTTCGAGATCTCTTGGAGATCGAGAAAGACTGGTGACTTGTTTCACTCCCCCAATTTGTTTTCAATTTTAATTTCGTACCGCAATCGTGTCCACTGTTCCAAGATACCTTATATCAGTTTAACTGGGTTGCCAAACAAATTTACTCTGGCGCAATGATCTGTACGTCGGCATACGACAAAATGCTACTGAAAAAAAAGCCATTGCTTGTAGCGTCTAGTCATTTTGATTGGTTACTTAGGACAACAATTACCAAATATTATCTATGTTGTCGCAATATTCAAAGTATATTTAGTCTGGCGCAGTGATCTGTACTTTGAAATCGCATGTGATTAGAACATATATCGACATGAAAAGTAGCATGGGTATGACGCAGTGATTTTGTATTTGTTTATGTTTTATTGATACGATTTTCACGCGACCTATGCATCACATGTAAAATGTATTGTCTGTTCTCACAAAATTTGAACGAGCTCAGTGCGAATACTGTCGGGCTTCAACAAATATAAACGCTTCTAGCATGTCTCAGTACGACTTAAATTGTTTGACTACACAAACTCAAATATATATGATGTATATAAGTATATTCCTTGTAAGTACATAATAAAAATAAATTTGCTCCTGCTAGGCCAAGCCAGGTAAAAGTTCGTGATAATAATATAAATCGACATCGACTACATCTTGGCAATGAAATTAAATGTGTACTTCCCGTCCTTCTGCTTGGTCTTTACGTTGTGCAGTTTGGTAGCTCTTGTTTTAATGTATGAATATATCGGCCGATATTAGATGAGTTTTGGATTGAATAAGCAGATTACAATGACACGGGCTAAGAATTCTGAAAAAGCAGTCTCTGCATCGAACTCCGTCTTGCAGTTCAAGACTCATACTATTTTGTATCAACTTTCCCCCATGTACGCGCTCCACTCTACTTTATAACTTAAACTACATCATTGAAATGGGTGTTATTTGTAACCATTTCCGTTGAGTCATCGTCTTCATAAGATATGACAGTCACACAGCATGGCATGACGGTATGAACAGTAGGTGATTTATGTCAGCAAATAAGCCATGTATGTATCTATTAGGGCTATGTTAGGATGGAACGCTGACAGATTATTCCGAACCGTAATTACTTAAATTAACTCTCACAGTACGACATCTATAGTTGGAGTATCTTTTTGTTTCAACCTGCTGGCAGATCAAAATTAGTATTTCAATTGAAAGGTTTCTCGAGAGATTTACTGAATCAAATACACACAATGTACGTGGAACACCTATACAGATAGCTTATAGCTAGTCATATACTATATGAGTGTCTGTAACCGATATATTCATTGAAATGTTGTTTTCAGCACGTGGAAACCTAATCTAGTGAGATAGTTTGAACATTCCTGTTCGGGAAAGCTATTACCCAAACCGTTTTATCCAATATATTTTTTTGTGAAGAAAAATGCAAATAAAATTATGGTGAATATATATAACATAGTATTACTGAAGGCATTTTGAAATATATAAATAAACTTTTTATAAGACGCAATTTATTTGTCCTATTTTAATAATTAGTACGCCAAACACGGTTAAGTGTTGCACTTGGCCATGTGTTTGAAACATGCTTTGTTTCGTCATTTTCAAAAATAATTGTACTATGTAGTGTATTATCGAATAGTGAAACAAATCATTTTATTTTAGCCATTTATTTTCTGTAAGCTTAAAATTAATGCTGAATATAACTAATGCATATTCACTCTAATGTATCGACTACTGTTAATTTCATAAAGGCACGCGTTTCTATTTCGAAAAGTTACTTAGAAGAACGATTACCATATGTTGTCTATTGTGTTGTATTGTATTATCGTAATCTTTGATTTGCCAGGACGCAAATTCGAACCGAGAATTTCAATTGGATAAACAAGCTCATCTCTATTATCACACTCACATATCTAAATGGAATGTTTTCATTTACTTTAAATTACTACTTTGCCAGTTTTCTCTTTATTTAGTCATTTTTTAACAAATGAGGAATTGAAAACTTTACTGGCTCAACAAATTCAGACAGACAAACATACCCTCTCTCATTGTTTACGACATATCTCCGACTTATTATTGGACTGCGCAATCATTAATGAGAACCACATTGTCTGAGCTATTCCATCAATGATCGTAACCCCCTGCGTTCGTCAGGATTAATACGCGGCGTTGTGTTTAAATTCAGAAGATGCAATACGTTTGTCTGGACCCGTACGCCCATACCCACTGTATGCCAATCTAAGTGTTCAGTTGTTAGTACATTTCAAGATGACCAATGACATGACATCGACACATACATTGCATTTGGAAGACTAAACAGTCATTAATAAGGACTGGTTGTCAATTGGTGACGTCATGGAAGATATTCACCATTTTTGTATAATGTTCTCCATGTGCATGTATTCCCACGATGGTGACTTCAATCACTAATGAAATATATATGTGCATAAATGGACCATCAGCTCAGCACATTGTTGAAATATTTCTTATAGATGTAAACCTCTATAGCGTGTACTAGACTAATCAACATCTTGTAAAATCAAGAGAACCTTACGAGTAGCGTATGTATGTGTGACAATAATAGTAGATATCGCGATGTAATAAACAGACTCTATGTGCAGTACACAGAACGTGTCGAGACACGTGTGGTGCCTGTATTCTAGACATGATCGATATTCGATAAATCTTGGAGTTAGTTTTTTGTGAGAAGACTCCAAGATGTCGCCTCGTTGACTATTTACAGTTATTACCACATAAGTTGAATATACACAACATTCACGTATACTTTGTGATATTTATTTGTATTTAAGTATTCGAATACTACATAGTCCAGTAGACTATTGCAATGCTGAATTCACACTGATTGTAAGCCAATTTATTTGAACGGTCCACTTGGTAGGATTATGATTATTCTCAAAATATAACTAAATGCTTTGGCGTAAATCAAAAGAAATTTCATTTGTGATGTTATGTTTGAAATAACCCCAACAAGAGTTTCAAGATCATAACATTTTACTAGCGTACTGGGAAATACATGGGCGCAGTACATACATGCATACAGTGGTACGCACCTGCTCATATTGACTACCACTACGACTGTTGGCAGATTAACGTATAGTTGTAAATCCTTTAAACAAACCATATAAATATGAACTCTATAACAAAGTTAGTGAGCATTCAAGCGAATAAATGCGATTATGAGATTATTATTTCTAATGTTTCACAAAGCGATCACTTGATTAACCAGCTGAAGAAGCGTCTATATTAGCAAAAATACTGTTAATATAATGATTGTATCTGATTCACATTAACGGGCGGTAGTCGTCGTGCCGCGTCCTGTTCGATATGGGACTCATAGCGACGTATACAACGCGTGTAAAAATACGTTGTTTATTTACATGAATTTCGAACACGCGCTGCGCGACGACCACCGCGCTTTAATGTATACGTACTTGTTGCCTATATTATCAGACATACTGTTATATAATCATATCTTCAATAATATTAGTTTACCAAATGCAACAACAACAAATATGTGTATTTATTTAGTCAGAGTTATTTTTGGAAATCGATGACAAAAACACAGCTTTTTAAAATAAGAGAATATTTTAAAATCTAGATTATAAAATCAAAAAAAAAAATCAAGAATGTTCAAATAAGTTTCAGTCGTATGGTATGACACGTGTTCTTAAGTGTTAACGCCCCTACTGCACTGAATGGTTTGGTCAAATTTCCTCTAC